CTTCCTCTCTCTCCACTAGATCTCTCTGTTCTTTCAATTCCTGCCTGGGCAGCTCTCTGTTTTAGGGCCTGTGGTATTTCTGCTATCCATTTTTTCCAAATCAACCCCTCCCCCGAAGTGAACTGTTTGCATCCTTCATGCTGTGTCCTCCTTACACCAGAGGTATTTGTTTCCTTTGAGACCTCATCATCTCTTCCTTTCCCCCCACCAAGCTCTGTGCAGCTCTGATCTGCTTCAGCACTCCTGCATTTGCCATCCATTTACTTTCTTTGTACCATATATTCTTTTCCCACCTCCTCCTATTCATCAATTCCTCCCTTACGCCACTTTGCCATTGTATCCATTTCATATAGCTTTTTTGTTGATCTCCTTTTTTAGGAATATTCTAAAAAGGAGATATTTTCTTCCCTCTGTGTAATTATTAACTATTTATTTTATTCTCTCAATTTGTCATTAATCACCCTTCGGTTCCTCCTCTTCTCCCCATTCCGCATAGATTTTCCTCACTTCCTTTGCACATCCCCATGTCATAACATTTTTCTACCCCATGTGTTTACTGCACCAGGCCTCCCCTTCCCTTCTATAATTCTGTTCACCTCTGAAATCTTCCATTATCTGCCCATATCTGCCTCCTCTTTTTACCCTCCCAAGCTCCTGAGTTCTGGAAAAACAATGATGGGCTTAAAACCAAGATAAACTACATATCTTTTATCCACCTTTACCATTCTTTAGGTTGGATAAATCTGGTCCTTTGCATCAGATAGCTTCTCCCACAATAATAAAAACTGCCTCAAAAAATGGTGCTGAATCCAAATAAAATAATAGTAGCGGTACAGGAGGAAAATGAATTAAAAAGTGAAGAAAAAGCCACTAATATCTAGAATGAACTGAGGATGGAGGCTAACCAGGCAGGGTGGAGCTTAGAGTCCTAGAGAACGTCCCCTTATGAAATCAAAGTTGACAGTTAACTGACATAATGGCACTGATTGATGAAGGGGTTATATGCCCCTGGAAGCCCATTAAATTGATTTCTTGGCCTATTTATGTGCCTTCACAAACCATATCCCCCACCTCTCCCAGCCCCTTGCTTGTGGTTTCTTCTGCTGCTGAGGTTAAATGTTGGATAAGGGGAAAAGGGATAAAAGAAACAGTGACTAAGAGAAAAGGTAGAAAGAAGGCAGATTACTGGAACAAAGATGGTGAATAAATAAGGGAGATCATGGCATTCAAGGATAGAAAAAAAAGGTATGAAATAAAATGGGGAAATGAAAAAATATATACAATGGTAAAGTGGGGGAAGGGAGGAAAATGAAGTCAGCAGGGAAGAGGTTTGTGGTGGAAAGCTCCTGGAAAGACAGATGATACACAGTGAAGACCAGATCGTGAGATCCTGATGGGGGAGACAGGCACATGGCAAAGGAGACAGTCAACAATGCTAGGAAGTTCCAAAGCTTCCCTGGTGAAGGTGGAACTGAAGGCTCTCCTAGCAATGCTGAAAGGGCACATGAGTCTGGGGGAAGACATATCTGCTCCATCCCCCTACTTTTCAGACCCCTGACCAATGACTATCATAATCCTGGTCAATAAGCTAACTCCAAAGTAGTATGAAAAGGCCACAGACATTGAGATGGACCCTGAAGGAGAGGGCATGGAGTCCTAGACGGCAGAACAGTCAGGCAGCCAAGGCGTGACACATAGTGAAAGGGACACATAGGGAGATCACTCAGATGGGAAGGGTCACAGCAGAGACAGTGACACACAGAACTGGAGACGAATGAAGTGGGGAGACATGGTGAAGAATGGCAAAACCAAGAGGAAGGGACATATGGACAGAGATCAGGGGAACTACAGGCACAGCTGAAGCATGGCCCAGTGCTCCAAAATGATAGGGCTACTCAGACAGGGGTAGACAAGAGCTGATGTGGGACAGGGGTAACAAGACAGACACGCTTCATCTTCAATGGGGCAGTAAGGCTTCCCCTCACCTACTCACACCTTTTCAAAAAGAAGAGTGGTGGGGGGTGCTCAACTTCAGGCAAAACGGAGACGTCCCTCCCATCTTGCACCCTAGCGCGCTAACCCATCCATCAGCCCTCCCGCCGCGGTTCCTCCCCCATCCCTCAGCCGGCGGGGGGCCGCCGAGACCCAGGCCCCTCCAGGCTGACAGCTCTGAGCCCTCGAACTCACCCGGCCTCCCCTTCCCTCCGGGAACCCTGCTCCCCGTACAGCTCGGCGCGGTCCGTCTAGGCTTTCGTTACCCTCCGTCTGTCCCGCTGGCCCCTGCTTCTCCCTCCCCAGTCTCTCCCTCCACCCCCTACATATTTCTCTCCCTACATACGCCCTCTCTCCCACACCCCGGCTCCCCTTCTCCCCGGGCTCTGGCTGTCAGTCCGTCCGTGTCCCCTCCCCCAGCCCCTTCCCATCCCTCTCCGTCCCTCCAGCGGCAGTCTCCGAACGCCTCCTCTCCCCTCGTCTCGAGCTTCCAAAGAGCAAGGAAGGGAAGAAGAGCGAGAGGGAGAGGAGAAAAAAAAAAACCAACCCAGCAGCATCGGAAATCGATGCACTTACACCTCAGCTGGAAGCAGGGACGGGAGTCGAACCACGGCCGCCGAGCAGCGCGAGGCGGGGAGGGGAGGGGGCGGCTCTTGGAAGGGACTTCTCCGATGTGTTGATTCCTTTTTTTTTTCCCCTCCTCCTCCCTCCCTCCAGCGCTCGCTCCGGGGCGTCGGGGACGGAGATGGAAAAAATAAATAAATAAATTCACGGCGGTGAGGGAAGTGAAGGAAAATAATCAATGCTATTTGGCTGCGGCTGAAGTGTTTTCCCGGCTTCGTGAGGGGGTTTCCATTGATTCACCCTGGGCACTCGCTCGCTCCCTGCCTCCTCCTCCTCCTCGCCCTCCTCCTCCTCCTCCTCCTCCTCGCCCTCCCCTCC